TTTGATGCTAAATGATTGTTTTTATTTATTTTTTATTTTCACAAATTTTGACGTTAAAAGAAAAGGTGATAAGACGTAAAATTAATGGATCTTCTATTTTTATTTAAACATTTTCCATGCCGCATATAGATTTCGATATAATAGCAAAAAACGCGTTTGAGTGGTTTTTCGATAATTGAACTATTTTGCCCAAAGACCACTATTAAGAATTTCTACTCAGTCGAAGTCGCGGGCGGAAGCTAATAAGTAATTTAATATCATAGGTCTTAATTATGGGAAAATAGATTTCGTTGTAATTATTTTTAAAGGAAGTGACGAACTAGCACACAAGCCACCTAATGTGTGAATTGTGATCCATAGATATCCAATTAATATATTCACATATAGGTACATATGCATCTATAATTATTTGCAACCAACAACATGATTGAGGTACATATGTGTGCGTCCAGCAGTAAACTTGATAAAAAATAGAACAAAGAAGTGTGCGTGTGTATAAAGAAGTTGAACATGGTTTCGGCATCTTTTGAAATGTACGCAGCGTTCCATCTTTATGTTTGTCTTCAAAACTTCCAATAATGAAATGAGCATATTACTTATTTCTCTAAACACACTTTGCCATTCGACATATTTGCTAAATTAAAACGCACGATAAAAAGAGGTAAGGGTAATTTGTATTGTCGTTAAAATAATTTGTACAAATGGTGGGTTCTATCAGCATTTCGTGATCGAAAGTGACAGAAATGAATTGTCTGAAAACACTAAGAGAGACTCGATTGGGAAACAAGATTTATATTGACGACATTAGTGTTGAATTATGAGATTTGGTTAAGATTTTGTTGCATGTGTGCATTGCTTATCTCTAAGAGAAAATTTATGGACCTAACCGCTACTTTTTCATTCAATAATTACATTCTTTATCAAAACGCTCACGGATTTCCTCTCATCATCAGGCTGTAAATATGCTTGTACTTCGACTGCGAATAGGCCGATTTAACATAACTTTGACACGACAAAAAATAATCTTATTAAAATATACGCGCTCTAAAGCCATCCATCTTAGTCCCCGTGGGTGAGAACGCATCTGCTTGTTGACTATAAATCGAGCATAGATGTATGTGTCCTTTAGCCACAGCATCCACTTACCGCTACGGGTGCACTGTGTGGTGTATACTCGTTAGTCATTTTTATTTTTATAGAATAAAATATATATTTTGATCTTTATATAACATTTATATTATTTTTATATAAATAAAGTGACAAACGATCTCACAGTCCACTTGATGGTAAGTGGTTACCACAATCCATGCATACCTGCGACCAACCTCAAATAAAGATGGCTACAGATGCGTTGTCATCACTAAGAACTAAGATACCCTACAGCAGGTAATTATACAGGCTCTCTATACCATTAAAGTAAGCAGCATTGCAAGTACTGCTGTTTAGCGGCAAGGATTGGGGTAAATGGGTGGTACTTACTTAAACGGACTCAAGCAGAAAAGGAGTCCCCCACCACCTAGTAAATGTGTCATTAAATGAGTGAACAGAAAAGTGAACCATTTTGAGAGGCAGGCATTGTTTATATTAAATCATCAAAATTACATTTATCAATACTTCCTTCTGTCAATTAAATGAGAACAACTTAAATTATCATTCAATAACAACGGAAGATTGGACTGCACCCTATACAACTTGCACTATGCTGTAACAGTTTTACAACATCGGTTTCTGTGCTCATGTGACCTTAGTTTTACTTTTTATCTTAATTTTTTACGTATTTATTTGTATCGGATAATACTTAACAAAATTAATGTAACTCAATAAATTCACGTCACGAAAACCAGAGCAAAACTAAAATCTACTTAGGTTAACGAGATATCGATTTTTTTATCCAGTCAAAATAAATTATTTTAGATATATTTATCTCATACTTAAAATAAATAATGTATGTATACAATAAAAAATTGTAAATTAAAAAGAGTTTCGAGAAAATATGCCTAATATGTGGTTATAGTATTTTTTTAAATAAACTTAATTTCGCATGCCCTTTTGTCCACTCTTTTATAAGGACTCCTAAGATATCCACAAAGTACGGTCCTTACATTTACTATACAAGTATATTGTAGGCAATAATGCAAAAGATTAATATCTTTTGATAACACAGGATAACACTCACATTGGATTGGTAAGTCGATAGGTGTTGTTGTAATCGATTTTTTAACCCACTGAAGTAAACAAATCATATGTCGATAATAACAATAATGTCCTTCAGACCGAATTTCGGTCACGGCAGCCTGTCTTTACGAAGACTAGTCATCTTCGCAGGACAGTTGTACATGGGCGGCGGTCAACACTTTTTTTTATAGGAGAGAGGGCAAACGAGCATGCGGTTCACCTGATGGTAAGTGACTACCGCCGCTCATGAACAACTGCAACATCTGGGTAACCAGGGGAATTGCAGATGCGTTGCGGGCCTTTTACAAAGGAGTAGGCTCTTTTCTTGAAGGTTCCTAAGTCGTATCGGTAATCGATTCCACAAGGAATTCAACTCCAAAATTGTGCGAGGAAGAAAACATATTCTAAATCGCACAGTGGTGGACCACCAATCATCCAGATAGTGTGGATGGTATCGAGAGTTCTGCCGCGATGTGCGTTCATGAAATTTGACGGCTGGGATTAATCCGAACAATTCCTCAGAGCACTCTCCGTGGTAAATGCGAAAAAAAATGTAAAGAGATGCAACATCTCTTCGCAGCGCCAGTGAATCGAGCCGATCGGAAAGGACTCGGTCGTCAACGATTCTAGCCGCTCTGCGCTAGATGCGGTCGAGTAGGAGGAGCTGGCACTGGGGAGCCCCAGCCCAGAGATGGCAATAGTATTGTATTGTGTAGTGGGGCCGAACCTGCGCCTTGTAAAGTTGCAGGCGTTGTGCCGACATAAAATACTGTCCGTGAGCCGCATGTCTGTTTGTCCCCTCTTCTATAAAAAAAGGACTATAGTGCACGAGTGTGCACTCTCTAATAACTAACTCTCATTGTCCGATGTCCGATGGGACGGCAATTCGACACGACTGGAGATACTCGTAGATTAGGCCGACGACCAAAAAGGCAGAGAAATATTATTTTACATATTACTAAATATATTTTATGATTAAGAGACACAGAGAGTTGCCACTGTTTAATGAAAATCATTTGCACTTCTATCTGTTTGAACGAAATAAGCCCCTATTCGTTATAGCTATAGGTTTACATAGCATTTATATTGTTTATATGTTATTTCAATTTAATTATTATTTTGCTTGGACATGGTATTTAAAAGCTTCCGCCAATGTTCATTATATTTACACGTGAATAAGATGGTTTTTCACCAAAATTAAACGTAATAAATAATATACTTATTATTTGACCTTGTCTAGTATAATATCAATGTTCAATCTTTACAGCTTTACAACTGTTTATATAATTTAAAGCTCACTTATACGACTTACAGACTTAAACAAATAACGTGTAACTACTCTAAAGTTTAAGCAGGAAACGTTGGTCACTAGCGAAGCGTTTCCCATACAACTCAAGCGCATAGGCTTACTCCAGAATTTGTTGCCTAATTCAATCCGGTTTTCAATTCAAAAGGAGGTTTTTTCGAAACTGATTTTAAAAGCTTACTCCCGAACCAATTCGAATCGAGTAACGCGATCGATTTACGATCAAGCGTTATTATTATATATTATAGTAAATATTTTATGACAAATGCTTTAGAATAGAATAGAATAGAATAATTTTTATTCAATATACATTACATGTGTAATTCTTATTGAAAGTCATTTTGTACTTTACCACTGGTTCGAAAAAAACCCTCTGTCCTGGGAAGAACCAGCAAGAAACCCAGCGGGACTTTTTTTTAAAATAAATAACACGTTTCCCGTTTTCGCGTAACGCGTTTTAAAAAGTTTCACGTCGCATGCTGTCATAAACGCCATCTAAAAGCGGACACAGCAGAAGACTTTTGTTCTGATAATTCATATTTGAGCCACCATTCGACTGTGCGCTAGCTGCGATTTCGGGAGTTCGAAACTTTTATTTAATAAAATTCTATTAATTCAACACTTGTTTCTTGATGAACGCCGAACGCTGCGCTCCGCTGCACGCTCCCTAGTTTCTAAACTTAACCAGTGTAATTTTTTCCTCATTCAAAAAGTCGACATAGAGTAATTGAAAAAAATAAAAAATAAAACAAAATTAGGATTTATCAATCAAAAATACACAATCAATGATAATCATTTTTCATTGCCCATAACTTAAAAGCCCAAAAAACAAAATATTCGCTTTGGTAATTTGTGTTTTATAAAAAATTACCTTGTTAATAATATGCCATCTTATAGTCTGTAATAATTTTTAAATTGATTTATCAGGTAGGTATACACAAAAATAATTGACCAAATCAAAGACTAATCTGTCAAGAAAAACATCGCGACTGCCCAGCGGCGCAGAGGTCATAGAGGCTATTTATAGCACTTCATCCCGAGCGTTCAAGATAAATCAATTAAGCATTATTGTGATGGAACGTAGAATATGTTTGAGATTGTTTTGCCCTTGAATCGAAGCCTTTTCTTTGCTCTAATGATTTTAATGTACAAACAACAAGTGGAAATATTCCATTCCATTCCAACTATTTAATTAGAGGAACTCTATGTATGTATATACTGTATACATATTTATTAGTAAGTTAATTTATGCGGACCCTGTGTATATCTTTAAAGGGTTTCTACATATTTATTTTGTATATATTATTAAACCTGTATATTTGTCTACTTTCTATGCAATAAAGTATTCTATAATTCAATATATCTTCAATATGACGCAGTTTTATAATTGCAATTGTATTAAACTAATTACCTTGTGTGCTTCAGAAGCATGTCAAAAACGTACCTAAAAATTAAATACAAATGTACGTCTCGGCATGATGTAAATGAAGATTAGCTTATAATTTCTTTTTTGTTACAGTTCGACGAATTCGTCAGGTCACTCCAAGTTGACCCCTACTCACCTCTCTTCAGGCTCGTGACGGATGGACAGCCGCCCTTAAGGTTTGTTAACCTTCCTTAAATAATCATGATATCATAAACAATTACGCCTGTCACTCAGAGGGGCAGACAGGGACTACGGACTTCCATTTGGCATGATCCTGACACATCTCTCTCGCCTCTTTTACATCATAGACCTACGCATACATGCTCGTCGGTTGAGGGTACTCTTTATGTGGGCAATCTTCAATATATCGCCAATTTTGTCGATAAAGTTTCGCCTAGGGCATCCCCTCCCGTCTCTTTCGTTCACCTCTGCAACATAAATTTGCTTTGTCACTCTTTCCTCGTTCATTCTTTCTACATAACCAAACCTTAAATAATATTGTGAGAAACTGTGAAGAAGCGAAAAATATGGTTTGCAAGAATACGTGTGATCAGGATTAAGAAAGGAATGCTTTGGTGGTTTGCACACATGAAAGAATAAATGAGAAAAGCGTGATAGAGCATATTTATGCTGCATAATAGAGTGGCGGAGTCAGCAAGGGACTGAACTGGCGATATATTGAAAATGGGTGAAATTAAGTGTACTTCACAGATTAGCAAATGTGCTGCGTAGATTATTTGGATGTGAAAGAAGCGTGAGAGGTCATATCAGGAATCAGGATCTTACCAAATGAAAGTCCGTATTCTCCGTCTACTCCTCCGGGTGACTATGTCATTTTCCTTTAATATTTTCTTTTTAAATAAAATTAATTTTACGGATTTTATCGCTTTTAGTTGCAACTTATTTTTAATTCTTTGTTGTAGCTCTAGTAATGGCTTTAGCAGCTGCTTAAGATAAAAACTGCAAAACTGCAAAACCAACAGCATTTTGTAACTTTACAAAGTTAAGTAAATATTTACATTTCCTACTGACAGTAATTACAGGTCCTTACTTTATAAAAACAATCTTATCTCGTAATATATCGCTAGAACTGTGTGGATATAATATATAAATAACTTTTAAAGGTACTTGAAGGTACGCATTGTACGCAACACAGTGCGTATGTACCTACATCTATTAGTGTTTTGTTTTTGTAAATAAGTGTTTAAGTGCGTCTGTTACTTTGTGTGAAGTAAAGAGAAAGTATAAGTACGAACGCAATAAAATGAACTTTCTAATGTATATTTTTTACACTAGCATGTTTGCGGTATTTTCATGATTTTTTTTTCTCTATTTCGTATACAAAACTGAACACAATTATTTCTTCAACATGCTTACAGGTATTTTTTTGAATAAAACTATTTTTACGGATTTTATCGCGTTTAATTAACTTATTTATATTACCGACGTTTCGGTTGCTTTCCAGCAACCGTGGTCACGGGGGACTGAGGTGATTGACGTCCCGATGTCAAAGTTAACCCGGAGTACCTTCAGCTTTTTAATTATTAATTTTGGTCCGATCTACGCAGAATGAACTAACTGTGTCTTGAAGTCTTACAGTGGTATGCTTGGGTTTAGTTTTAATTTTATGAATTACAGGATCCCAAGCAGGTGGTAGTACCCAGCCTCCCTCTCTATTGAAATTAGGATGTTTTTTAATTTCAATAGCCTCACGTATCATCCTTGACAGGAATCGATGTTCTTTCGCGAGGACTTGTGGTTTATCAAATCTAATGTAATGACGGGGGCCGTCTAGGATATGATCACAAATTGCAGACTTCCCGGAACGTTGGTGCTTCACGTCAGCTATGTGACCACTGTAAGACTTCAAGACACAGTTAGTTCATTCTGCGTAGATCGGACCAAAATTAATAATTAAAAAGCTGAAGGTACTCCGGGTTAACTTTGACATCGGGACGTCAATCACCTCAGTCCCCCGTGACCACGGTTGCTGGAAAGCAACCGAAACGTCGGTAATATAAATAAGTTAATTAAACGCGATAAAATCCGTAAAAATAGTTTTATTCAATGTGTAGTGTTCGCGTAAATATAAGAAATCATTAGGCATTTTTTTAATAGGATAAGGGTGACAAACGAGCACACAGTCCATTTGATGGTAAGTGGTTGCTGCAGTCCATAGACATCTACATCTATCCTCTATTACAAATCAAAATGTAGATTATCACCCGTGAGGACTAAGATGGAATGCCTCATTTCCAGTAAAAAGGGCCTCCGGCCACCTGCACTCACCAAGCGAAACGCAGAGGTAAACCGCTACTTCACGCTGGTTTTCTGTGAGGTCGTGGTACACCCCGGTTCGAGCCGGCCCATCCGTGCGACAACAAGAGCTGCCGCGTGGCTCTACCACTGTTTAAATAATATAATAGTAATAATTAAATAATTAGTAAAATTAAATTCGGTATTATATAATATAACAATTAATTTTTATTTCAAAATTGCATTTAGATACATCATAGCTCACACAGGAATATTATATAATAATTAACATCTGTGTGGTGTTTTTAACCGACTCCAAAAAAGGAGGAGGTTTTTTTATAGGATAAGGGTGACAAACGAGCACACAGCCCACCTGATGGTAAGTGGTTGCTGCGGCCCATGGACATCTACATCTATCATCTATTACAAATCATAATGCAGATGCGTTGTCACCCGTGAGTACTAAGATGAAATGCCTCTTTTCCAGTAATAAGGGTCTCCGGTTCTCTACACTCACCATTCGAAACACAGCAGCGTTAAGCTGCTATTTTACGCTGGTATTCTGTGAGAGCGTGGTACTTCTCTGGTCGAGCCGACCTATTCGTGCTATAACTATACCAGTAATACAGTTGCAGCATGGTGTGAAGGAGGTACTCAATTGGACTGTTTTTTTTAAATGTGTGTTACCTCAGAACTTTTTTCTAGCTGGTGCTTCTCATGTAGTCCCATATAAATTTGATCAAGATCTGACCAGTAGTTTTTGACTTATCCTTAGTTGTAGTGTTCTCATTTTATTTATATTGAAGTCGGTTGTACAAAGTTTTTAATTTTACAACTTGTAAATAAAATTGTGGTAACTCAGAACAAAATACTTAGAATTTTAGGTAATGGTACAATTTGTTTTCGTGGAGGACACGGATTTCATTAAATACGGTTAAAAGTGAATGTAGTATAGGTATAATGTTGCAGTCTGGTAGTTTAATCAGCCGGTTAATTGACTGGACTAAAATGTTAACGCTTAACAAAACGGCGGGCTAATATTTTTGGTTATCTGCTTATGTTTGCAACTATGGTCTAATGGTCGTAAGCGCGTCAGCTGATCATTTGGTCCCAGATTCGAATGCAAGGTTGGACTAAAATCAGTTTAATGGTTTTTTTTTGCTAAGAATTTCTCTTCGGAAAGGTTCTCAATAACAGCGTGAAGCCAGGAAGTTAGCGGTTTTTCATACCCCAAGTGTTGAAAGCATTTAAATTCTCTTGCGTCTAATTTCTCTCTGGTCGTATCGGATTACCGTCCCACAGGACTGTGAAAGTAAGTGAATAGAAAATGCACCTGTCTTGCACACGCTAGTGCACTACATTCATGTCCTGCGCAGATGGCTAGTCCGTTGAGACTGGTCGTCGTGACCGAAATTCTGTCTGGTGCACATTATATTGATTAAACGATGTTTAAAATGTAATTCCAAATTAATGTTTCCTAATGTTTAAATTAAGAGCCGTGGTAGCTCAGATGGTTATCGCTCGCTTAAATTTCACAGTACGGGAGCAACCCGAGTTCGATGCCCGTCGGCACCAATGAAATTGTTAATTGCAATTTTAAGTGCTCATTTACCACGTGCTTGGCGGTGAAGGAAAACCCGCATGTCAGAGAAATAAGAAAAAAAATTATTTCGAAGACATGTAAAGTTCGTCAACACGCATTGGGGCAGCGCGGTGAACACTTCCTTGCCCTAAAACCCTCTCAGAAATGAGAGGAGGCCTGTGCCCAGCAGTGGGACGTATAATAGTCTGAACTTTAATTTTAACTTTTAATGTTTAAGTTATAAAAATCTGTAACGTTTAATCAGTTGTTTATACTTGTTCGCCTAATACTGATGATAGCAATTTAATAGCAATAAAAGTAACTAAACCATACAAATTACCGTCTTTTAATTCGTATGTATTAACAATGCATCACAAAACGATTGTAATTTGTCTAAGAGGCTTTCTAGACACTTAGCGGTAAGTCGACGTTTCACTATCACCTGCGACACAAACAAGCTGAACGGATGTTGGTAATACCCTACGAGTATGCCATCGCCGGTAGTCAAGAGGTCGAGTCAATATTAGGAAAGCTACAAACTTATATGTGCAAAGCGCATGGCAGTGATGTGGAATCGAGGTTTTGGTCCGATGACTTCACTTGCAGATCACTTGAGCATCTCTGTGATGTGATGTAATTCAAACGCTTGTTATTTTACTTACGTGGCTATACACTTGGAAGTTAAGACGTTTTGTGACTTCCTAAAAAATATTGAGGAAGGCCAAAAGCGACAAGTCTTGTAATCACAACTATGATCGCGAGTTGTACCCAAGTCAACATTTATGTCTTTAGAGTATTTCGTTTTTAATTTTTTTTTTGGAGGATAAGGGTGACAAGCGAGCACACAGTCCACCTGATGGTAAGTGGTTGCTGTGGCCACTAGACATCTACATCGTCCTCGTTTGCGAATCAAAATGCTGATGCGTTGTCAGCCGTAAGGACTAAGATAGAATGCCTCTTTTCCACTAAAAAGGCTCTCCGGTTCCCTACACTTACCATACCACCATGCGAAACACAGCAGCGTTAAGCTACTATTGTAAGCTGGCATTTAGTGAGAGCGTGGTCCTTCCCCGATCGAGCCCATCCATTCGTGCTACAACTATACAATTAACTGACTTCAATATAAATTATTAAGAATAACTCCAAAACTATTGGTTAGATCTTAATCAAATTTATATGGGAACACATGAGAAGCACCAGCTTTCAAATAAAAAAAGAATCATCCAAATCGATTCACCTAGAAAAAAGTTATGCGGTAACACACATTAAAAAAAACAGTCGAATTGAGTACCGTCTCCTTTTTGAAGTCGGTAGAAAACTCACCTTCACTGGGTCTGC